CCACTCGCAGCCTCAAGAGCATTTCTCTGCAAAGCCTCTCCCATGGGTACCAAGTGTTCTGCAAAAGGCCCAGAGAAGACTCTCGAAGGTGACTTAAATAGACTCTGTAGTTACACAGTAGAAACACCTCCTGTGAATTAGCCCATCTCTTAGCTTAGTTACGAGAGTGCTAGTAAGAGCATCCTTCCCCCCCAACAAAACTGAAACCCGCCCTGGCCAGTTTGGCTCAGCGCTTGAGCCTCAGCCTGCGGACCAGAGAGTCCCGAGTTCGGTTTCCGCTAGGGGCACATACCACAAAAAAACAAAAACAAACAAACCCCCTGAAACCCATGGCAATCTTTCATTGTGTTATGTGAGAGGTATTTACCCTCTAGCCCTGGAATATAAACTGTACGAGGACAGGGCTGCTAGTTTTGTTCAGGGATGTATTCCCAACCCCTAGCAATGTACCTGGCCAATAACAGGCACTCAGTAAATACTTATGAAACTCACGATTCTACCTCTTCTGAAAGAATTGACTTTGCCCACAACCCCAGAAGGTTGGGCTGGGCCAAACTGCTTCCATAGATCTCTCAAGACAGAGACATTTAGATGGGGGGATGTTACCTAAGTCAATACATGGGTAGATGGTTACTATTTCTTCTTCATATTTAAATCTCTTTACAGGATAATTGACTGTTTAAAGAAAAATTATAGCAATGTATTGTGGGATTTATGTCGTGTATAGAAGTAAAATGCTTGACAACAGCATAAAGATTGGGAGCGGGGACGCAGAATACCACTGTAAGGTTCCTAACTCTTCACGAAATGCTACATGGTAACTCTCGAGGTGGGCTGTGAAATAGGTGTATCAGATGGAGATATAAGACATGTCTGTATCTTATCGATATAGAATATATCATATATCTGTGCTGTTAGATATAAACACAAGATGTATATCTATATCATCCAGTTTATCCAGTATGTAATGTAAGCCCCAAAGCAACCATGAAGATAACAAAACGCAGAGTGACAGAAAATTAGACAGAACGGAATGTGAGCCCCCACTCGGTGAAGCCTGCAGAACTCAAGGAGAAGGAGAAGGGGAATCAAGAGCAGATGCAACCATAGAAAACACGTTCCTGGCGCTGAACTGCCTCCCAGCCACTACCCGGAGCGATATTTGCCCATCTTCAAGTTTTCAGCAGTGTCGATTTTCAACGGCATCCCTGCGGGAGGAGGAAAGAGGCCCTGGGGTTAGGACTGTCAGGGAAGCTGCGTTGCCCACAGTCAGCATCATCCTGGTTGCTCGGTCAAGGTCAGCTGAGCTGCACCGCTTTCCACGGACATCGCAAGCAATTGTTTCTGCCATAAAATCAGCTTCAGTGATGCTAAAGCCTCCCAAATAGATGGCACGTGTTATACTCGACAGTTCACTTGTTTCATTTATCATGAGATTAAGCTCCACCCGCCCCCCCCACAAGCGAGCCTTCTGTATTCATTTACTTTTACAAGCTCCAAATAAACATTTGTTGAGAAGCATCATTTTAATTTCCCTCCCCCTCAGCACACACATCACAGTAGAGCTTAAAAGACTTGCCGATTTGGGAGACAAAGGTGCTTTTGTGTTTGGATTTACATTCCCAGCAATATCTCATTCTAATACCTGCCTGCATTTATATTCGCATTCTTCATGGGGGGGGGGGGCGTTTATAGAACAAACCGAAGCCTTCCTTTCATGGTGGCTTCAAGAGAGAACAAACAGGAAGAAAACCAAACCTCTTGGCAAACCGTGAGGTCCTCTGAAATCCACTCCGTGCGAAGTGGAAAAAAAAACAAACCCTGAGATTTAAGGAACATTTTACGCTTCCCTGTTCCCCCAGCAACGATGTTCAAAAATCAGTGACCCCCGCCTGCTAGAAACAGATCTCAGCTGCCTATCTTAGAATCCTGAGAAATCGCTCCGCGTTCTTGTTTTCCTGGTGACGGGAGACAAACCCTCTGTGGGTGCTGGCAGGTGCTTCCCTCCCGGTTCGGAGCCTGTCTGAGTCCGAGTCAGGACGGGAGTTGATGTTCTGGCCATGAAAACAGCAGGAACTCACTCACCAGTGTCTCATCCACGATAAACATGACATGCGTTGACTTGATCCCCACACCTGTCAGGTGGATGCCTTGCGAGAAGAAGACACAGGTCAGTGAGGGGTAGTTTGGGGAGAACCGAGGGGAATTCTCCAGCAAAGGAAGAGAGACTCCTTGGAGCAGCTGCCGAGCTTGAGAGAAACGAAGATGTGGAGAATTGCGTGATGAATATCACTTGTTTCCAGCAAGGTTGTGGTTAACAGTAAAATTTCATAGCAAAGATTTTTTTGGCCCTTGAACTGGTAAGGGCACCTGAGACCACACCAGTTGCCCCTGTGCTTTATGCAGATGGGACCCCTGAGGCTGGGGTTCTGGCTGTGGTCGGGGTCCTCATTTTAATTTAAAGAGCAGTGGGCATTGCCGGGGTTCTGGGCTCTGGGAGGCTTCTGGGGGCACTTGTGACAGCAGTCACTAGACAGACATTTTACTCCTCAGAGTGGCCTCACCCTGACCTCCAGCCTCTGTGACCTCCATCTTGGCAGTGTGTTCTTTGGGGTTTCTTCCCATGTGGAAAGTCCCAGGGGAGTCCTCTCTCCTCCTGTGTAATCCCACCTACCCTTTATCATGGAGAAAAGGACCTCACCCCCTCCTGCCCTCCCCGTTAATGCTGAGGGTCCCCTCCCTGTGTGTTTGTGGGGATATTGGGGATATTGGTGGATAGATTTCAGGATGTGGTGGGGAGAGTGGGGGGAGCTCAACATTCGGGCTCCCATGAGTGTTTTGAACCAGAAGCCAACCCTTTCATTTGTGCTGATTCGTAAAAGGGAAGGAAAGAGAAAAGAGAGTCGAGAGGCCGGGGGATGGCTGCCCGAGGACGATTACCTGGACGTGTTAGGCGGCGTAAGCCTCCACAGGAATGTGGTTCTTCAGGCAGGCGCGTGGCGAATATTGTGTCTGTGGCCGTGACTCATGAGTCACGGTGTCACTGTGTGTGATGCGAGGCTGAGGCTGGGAGGCCGGAGCTGGGAACAGAGGCACAGGACGGGAGGGTGGGGACAGGAGCCAGGCAGCCGGTCCCGGAAACTCCTTCTCCTCCCCACCTCAGGAGGGCACAATTAGCGCCAAGTCGGACCGGGGAGGGGCTGGGGGCACCCTTCTCCTCCCCACCTCAGGAGGGCACAATTAGTGCCAAGTCGGACCGGGGAGGGGCTCGGGGGCACCCTTCTCCTCCCCACCTCAGGAGGGCACAATTAGTGCCAAGTCGGACCGGGGAGGGGCTCGGGGGCACCCTGGTTCGCCAGCCCGCTGGCCGCCGTCTCGCCCTGCCCTCCGTTTCAGCCCTGTGGGTACTGAGTTCTCGGGCTCCCTGGCTAGACGGGAGCTCCGGCAGGCAGTGCCGGGTAAGTGGGAAGAACACGAGGCGGGGTAGGCAGCCAGCACCCTTCGGCCCTACTGCTCTGAGCCCCTGCCCATCGGATTTCCTGCTTGGGCCAAGTGGAGACCAGCAGGCGGATGACAAGGGCTTGTGCTAAGGGCTCAGTGAGAGCAGGCGTGTGCCTGGGACGCAGAGGCCACTTACGGAGTGCCAGTGTCTCCGGTCTCCAAGAATAAGGCACGGCTCTTGCTCACCCTGTCTGTCACTCCTGCTCTTGGAACATCCGGAGCGGTTAGGAAAACATACCGGCTGGATGAATGCAGTGCTGCAAAAGGAAGTTTTCACCACTGAGTTTCTAAGGGTATGTTAAGCAGAGGAGTCCGTTTTCCCAGGTTCTGGCTGTTCTAGGCGGGAAAGTAGGTCCTGCGTGGATGCTGGCGCTGGTGAGGTCTGTACCTGGCCGGGCGAAGTGGGCGTTCGGGAAGCTGCCGGCAGAGGGCGCCCCGGGCTCGCTCAGCTCCCAGCGCTGGGAATGGGGCGCTCGCAGGGCTGGGGCACAGGCTGCAGTCCGGCTCCGACGCTGACTGCAGCCGCAGATGCGCTCACGACCCGGGCGGAATGTGAAGTGAGCACACTCGGGGCGCCCAGGAGCGCACGGGCCAGGCGGCGCTGTGTTGAACCCCGATGGTGTGCGGTGAGTGCCTGAGCCCCGGGACCTCTCACCCTAGTTAGGGGCCTCTGGAGGCAGCCAGGGCGCAGGGCGCAGGTCGGATGGGGGCGGGCTGGTGTAGTGGTTGGTGTGCGTCGTAAAGTGGGCAGGGTCCCTGCTCGCCTTGGTCTTGGGGAAGGGTTTAGGGTCCACCCCAAGAAGCTCTGGATTTCGGCTTGAGTTTTGCTTTCAAGCCACTCGGATTTACTTTAGTTTCTAACGTCGGGATTTGTCTGCAGGGTCCTATGGCGTGTTGTCCGAGGGTCTGGGGGCCCGGGGGCTGGGGGAAGAGTGACCCAGGGCAGGCGAGTGCTCACCTGAGCGCCCCCCACTCCTTTCGCCCGCAGCACCATCCAGGGGAACCACGTGCTGTTGCCCGCAACTCTGCCTGTCAAGGAAGCCCGCCCCCAGGGCAGGGGAGGGGCGCGGGGGCGGGTGGGCTGTGCCCCGAAGGAACCAGTCAGCCCGCGCCTGCTGGGCGCCAGCCAGCGCCGTCTCTGCCTCGTCCCGCGGGCTCCTGGCAGGTAGTGGCCGGTGCGGCGGGAGGTGCAAGGCCCTGTCCGGTGGGGCCAGAGGTGGCCCCAGGGGCACCCGGCATTGGCTCCGGGGTGGGGGTGGGGGAAGGAAGCAAAGGAAAGAAGCTGCCCAAATGACTAATCCTGGAGATGCCCTTTCCCAAGGTGCTGCGGGGCTCCCGGGAGCCCCTTTCCCAGACCTCCGGCCCTGAACCACCTCTAGCCATTTGAGGCGGTGAGGCAGCAGCGGTTCTCTGGGGGCCTGGCCCCAGATCCTTTTTCTAAGCCCGCCCCGTGCCTTTTCGGATCCGGAGCGGAACCCAGGGTGTGCGCGCCGGGCAGGACTCCTGGGCGCTGTGGAGCAACCTCTCCCGGCTCCGGGGCTTTGAGAGACAACCCCGAGGCAAGGTAGGTGCTCCATGCCGCTGGAGTGGGCTTGGCATGAGTCAAGATGCGATCTGCTCCAGTCTTGGCCATCTTTGCTTTCTCTTTGCTTTTCAGGGTGTTTGGGGAGCGGCTGCGGAGCCAGGGCTTTGGAGGAGCCAGGCGAGCATTTTCAGCTGTGCCTCGGCCCCGAAATGTGACTACAATGGAGTAGCTCGGCAGAGGCCTCCAGTCTCTGGATTGATAGCTTAGAATATGCCAAAAAGCCAGTGCTTTCCATGGGGAATTGAAGGGCCAGCTGGTCCCAGTGACAGTGACCTGGAGCAAGGGAGTCAGAAGACAGTTGTAGAAAGCAAGAGGGACCTTCCAAGGGCTCCTGGCAAGCCGCTGTCACAGCCCTCTGATGGAACGCCTGTGAGGTCCTTTGGCCAGGGGAGCAAGTGGCACAGTGCAGAGGGCTGCCCATGAATGAGGAGCCCTGAGGGTCTGGCTGCCCCCACTCCCTGCTGAGGAACTCGAGGGACATCAGAGCCCGGGTGTGCTCTCCCTTGGGACGATGAGGACTCTGAACACCTCCACCATGGACAGGGCTGGGCTGGCGGTGCAGAGGGACTTCTCCTTCCGCGTCCTCACAGCCTGCTTCCTGTCCCTGCTCATCCTGTCCACGCTCCTGGGGAACACCCTGGTCTGTGCCGCCGTCATCAGGTTCCGACACCTGCGGTCCAAGGTGACCAACTTCTTCGTCATCTCCTTGGCTGTGTCAGATCTCTTGGTGGCTGTCTTGGTCATGCCCTGGAAAGCGGTGGCCGAGATCGCTGGCTTCTGGCCCTTTGGGTCCTTCTGTAACATCTGGGTGGCCTTTGACATCATGTGCTCCACTGCGTCTATCCTCAACCTCTGTGTGATCAGCGTGGACAGGTACTGGGCTATCTCTAGCCCCTTTCGGTATGAGAGGAAGATGACCCCCACGGCCGCTTTCATTCTGATCAGCGTGGCGTGGACTCTGTCTGTCCTCATCTCCTTCATCCCCGTTCAGCTCAGCTGGCACAAGGCGAAACCCGCCGGCCCTTCTGATGGGAACGCCACTTCCCTGGGCGACACGACGGACAACTGTGATTCCAGCTTGAGCAGGACATATGCCATCTCCTCCTCCCTCATCAGCTTTTACATCCCCGTGGCCATCATGATTGTCACCTACACCAGGATCTACAGGATCGCCCAGAAGCAGATCCGGCGCATCTCGGCCTTGGAGCGGGCAGCGGTGCACGCCAAGAACTGCCAGACCGCTGCGGGGAATGGGGGCCCCGTGGAGTGTTCGCAGCCGGAAAGCTCCTTTAAGATGTCCTTCAAGCGAGAGACGAAGGTTCTGAAGACGCTGTCTGTGATCATGGGGGTGTTTGTGTGCTGCTGGCTCCCCTTCTTCATCTTGAACTGCATGGTGCCCTTCTGTGGGTCTGGGGAGACCCAGCCCTTCTGCATCGATTCCATCACCTTTGACGTGTTTGTGTGGTTTGGGTGGGCTAATTCTTCCTTGAACCCCATCATTTATGCCTTTAATGCTGATTTTCGGAAGGCGTTTTCAACCCTCTTAGGATGCTACAGACTTTGCCCCACGGCGAACAATGCCATAGAGACAGTCAGCATCAATAACAACGGGGCCGTGGTCTTCTCCAGCCACCACGAGCCGCGGGGCTCCATCTCCAAGGACTGCAACCTGTATCTCATCCCGCATGCCATGGGCTCCTCCGAGGACCTGAAGAAGGAGGAGGCAGGGGGAGTAGCCAAACCCTTGGAGAAGTTGTCCCCAGCCCTGTCCGTCATTCTGGACTACGACACGGATGTCTCTCTCGGAAAGATCCAGCCCATCACCCAGAACGGACAGCACCCAACCTGAGCTCTGAGCTGCACCCTGCAGCTCTGCTCATCCTGCAGGCGAGAGGAGGTTTCTCTGGGGCTTGCTGTTAAGAAGCTAAGGTGTGCTGAGACTCCGAGGCGTCAGGCGAGCCCTGCTCTGCTGCGTTTCCTTCCACACACGACTGACCACGTTTAAAAATACATTCCAGTGTGTTTTCGGTGTTCTTCATAGTGAATCGAAGAGGCACGCATGTGAAGTGAGTGATCGCCAGGGACGTGTCTTTGGCTCCAAAATCATTTTTAGAAACTGATGCTTATCTTAGGACTTGAAAAAAAAATAGGGCAAAGAGTCCCTGGTGAAGAGCTTCACTTAGAAATTAAGCCTTTGCAGGAAGGAAGTGAGGAGGGCTGAGGTTGCTGTGTAGAAACAGGTGCTAACCCTGGTTCGAGCAAAGCTTTCAGATTGTAAAGGTAGGTGCATGCCTTCATAAACTGTTCCTAAAATCAATTGAGCCTTACAGTGTGGATGAGGTGGGTTTTTTTCCAGAACGGAGAGATGCTTTGTGGATATTGGTTTTATTTATTTATTGTATTACATGGATATTTTTAATTTATCATAATAAAGCTATATTTATCATATTTAATAGGATAAACTAATGAGTTATCTGAGACCTTCCGATCACATTTTTGTCCATTTAACTAGCACTTTATAAGCCAACGAAACAAACACACAGACTCTCTGAGTACAACTTTCGGAAACACAGCGAAGACTGACAGGCAATGAACTTGGGATGACCTTTAGAATTCATTGGCAGATAAAGACGAGGTGAGAGTTGGCAAACGCTGTGAATATTTTTTCTCCCCTAAACATTTTGAAAATCTTTTTTTAAAAAAGCATAGCTACTATTGCATTCAGAATTTTTTAAATGGCCAAGACTTTCCTAGGGGGATGATTTGCAGTTCTGTAAATATCTTTGAAAAAAAAAAAAAATGCCAGTTTAAGAACCCAACTTCAAATGTATCATCTTAGGTGGCAGTAGCAAGTCTATGCCACTTTGTATCTATGTAAAATAACTGGCCCTCTCAGTCTTTTCTCACTCCACGTGTCAGACAGCTTTTCTGAACCAAACAGTGGCTGTCCTGGTTCCCTGTGTGCAGTGAGGACAGTGAGTCTCCTTAACTCACGTGTCCCAGCAGGACAGAGTTCGAATCCTGCGCCTCCAGCTCACCAGGTCAAACCAGGCTGCTTTTGGTAGTGCTTTAATCTGAATTTAGAACCGTTTTTTTTAGTCTAAATGTTAACAGTATACTTAACAAATAGTGCCTCACGGTCATCCTGCAGTAGGACACTTCTGTTGGAAAAAACAAGAGGCCCCTCTCTTTGGGTGTGTGAAGTATCCAGAGCCATCATCAGTATCTCTTGACAAATGCAAACCCTTCCTCTGTGCTTTGGAATCACGTCCCTATGTCATCAGCACGATGGTAAAAAAGTATCGTAATCACCCTTGCGGGATACTAATCCAGGTGGGGCATTTCAAGAGCGTTTCTCTGAAGTGTTGACAGAGTGTTCTCGTGGGTAAGCAGTTTACTGGGCGTGGAGATGAGTGGGTAATGGGAAGGAGCTGCGGGAAGTGATCTCCTGCATCGGGTCTGTGTGACTTATGCTTTGTGACTGCTTTCTGAACTTGACTGCCTGTACGCTTTCTTACATACAATAAAACTATTTTGTGAACTCCAATCAACCCTGGATGAACCGTGTTGCATTTGTTAAATGTGTTTTAGAAACAAAAGCACTTCAGACCGACACGTAAGGAAACACGGCTGTTTCCAGGACATGTTACTTTTGTTCTTTTTAATGTACGGCACGCATTGTCATTTAACATTTAAGCAGAAGATGTTTTCAATCTGGGCTGTGTACTCATGTTTCCTTCTGTCTTACAGACTTGTTTTTTGTTTTTGTTTTTTAATTTAAAGAAAACCTTCCTTATTTGAGGAATTACTCTGCTTTTCATTTCATTTCACGGGTTTGAAAGAGTCCTAAAAATCTCTGCTTTTGCTTTTGAAGTGCCCAGGGACTGTAAATGATGTAAAAGTCACAAAAGAGACTGTGGCTTGCTGTCGGGTTGGTTTGGACTCTTAGCTCACGGCAGCCACGGTGTGTGTAGTGTTTGTTTTAAGAGTAAATACAAGAGGAGTTTTTTTTTTTTTTTCTTTTCCTGGGGAAAATAGGCAGGTTGTAATGCTGGGCTCCTCAAAACGTCTGCAGAGCCGCACCTGTTGATCCTGCCAAACCCGTTCGGTGAGTGAGCTCTTCCCCTCCCCCACTCCCCGTTTTGTTTTGTTTTTTTCATCCCAAGAAGAATGCCCGGACCGCAGTTGATGTAGAAATGAAGGGTTAAGTTTATAATTTGGAACATCACCCAACAGATGGTGTCTTTTAAAATTCCATATTTGCCATCCCCAGGCTTTGGCATGTAATGAACATATCTAGAATGAAGGCCTGTAGATAACTTTTCTTCCTGCCTCATAACTTTCTGGAGATCTTTTACTCCTTGCAGTTTCATTTTGGCTTTTTAATGGGAAGTCCAGCACCACCAGCTGTAATGTTCAGGGTTGTCATTGCCCAACCAATGACACGGGGCACAAACACCTTCACCGCGAATTCTGTTGGCAGCGAGTGAAAAATAAAGGTCTATCTAGAAATTGTGTTAAATAATTATACAGTTCCGTGTACTGTGGACGAGACCGTGCTTTGGTTGGATTGATAAAAGGTACGTTATGAAATGCTCGTTTTGCTGAAAGAACCTTGCAGAGAATTTCATTTTCAACCATAAAAGCAGAATGGCAATATGACTTTCATTTTATTTCTAACGACAGCAATGAGCCCGCATGGTGCTACATGTCTGTGCAACCCGTAAGCAAGGTAGGGACGGTTTAGGGGGTGTTCTTTCTCTCTGTTCATCTCAGGAGATGCCTTTCCTGGTCAAATAGACTCGGAGCTCTTGTTGGTGAGGGGACAATAGGAAGTCCTTAGAAAGGGAGACGGAGCGCTAGGCTTCCTCCATGGATTCAGAGTTTATTTAGGAATGGCACTGGTTTCTCTGGGGCTCGCAAGTCACCATGTCTGAGGCTCAGTTGTCCAAATCCATGAAATGGGAGGAGCAAAGCCTCTGTTAACGTCTCACAATCAGTACATAGTGCAACCTCAAGGACTTTCTGAATTGTCCCTCCCCGGGGGCTTCATCACGATGTTCCCCCCTGGTTTGCACCAGCATCATCGGCCTGATGCCCCCCAGCCCCAGGAGCCAGTCCGCACGTCGAGGTAGGGAACACAGAGAGCACAGGCTTTGCTTTAGATGGCCGTGGGTTCTCCAGGCTGAGCGAGAGTCCACAGATGTCTGTGTGTCTCTGAGCCTGTCTGCCATTTGTGAAGGGGGATAAGCATGTGGGTTCTTGTGGGGGTTTCTGGAGCTACGGTCTGTAGGGGAACGGAGCCCTGAGCTGGTCTGTAGGGGCACTGAGCCCTGAGCTGGTACATAGAGGCACCAAGCCCTGAGCTGGTCTGTAGGAGCACTGAGCCCTGAGCTGGTCTGTAGGGGCACCGAGCCCTGAGCTGGTCTGTAGGGGCACCGAGCCCTGAGCTGGTCTGTAGGAGCACCGAGCCCTGAGCTGGTTCCGGTAGGGCACCGAGCCCTGAGCTGGTCTGTAGGGGCACCGAGCCTGAGCTGGTCTGTAGGGGCACCGAGCCCTGAGCTGGTCTGTAGGGGCACCGAGCCCTGAGCTGGTCTGTAGGGGCACTGAGCCCTGAGCTGGTCTGTAGGGGCACCGAGCCCTGAGCTGGTCTGTAGAGGCACCGAGCCCTGAGCTGGTCTGTAGGGGCACTGAGCCCTGAGCTGGTACATAGAGGCACCGAGCCCTGAGCTGGTCTGTAGAGGCACCGAGCCCTGAGCTGGTCTGTAGGGGCACTGAGCCCTGAGCTGGTCTGTAGGGGCACCAAGCCCTGAGCTGGTCTGTAGGGGCACCGAGCCCTGAGCTGGTCTGTAGGGGCACCGAGCCCTGAGCTGGTCTGTAGGGGCACCGAGCCCTGAGCTGGTCTGTAGGGGCACCGAGCCCTGAGCTGGTCTGTAGGGGCTCCGAGCCCTGAGCTGGTCTGTAGAAGCACCGAGCCCTGAGCTGGTCTGTAGGAGCACTGAGCCCTGAGCTGGTCTGTAGGGGTTCCAAGCCCTGAGCTGGCCCGTAGGGGCTTGGAGCCCTGAGCTGGTCATAGGAGCACCAAGCCCTGAGCTGTCGGGCTTGCTGACTCTCAGCAGGATCTCTGCTTTGAGGGGGTTGATGACATAACCACCTTAGCAAGAACGGAGCTGCTATGCACTGATCTCTCGCAGGTTGGCCTGAAGCACATGGAGTGGCTGTCAGAGCACAGCCCTTTGGGCTTCTCCCGGACACCGTGTTCTCTGGCTGTAGTTATCTGGCATTCCGGGAGCAAGTGGCGTTTGACATCGGTGTGGTTCAAGCAATTACCTTAATTGACTAGTAGGTACTGACTAAATAAATGTGTCTACAGTGTTTCTGTTTGAAGTCTACTTACCTTGCAGAATGTGTTTCAGGAATAATGAGTTGATGGCCAGCCAGGTTGCACTGTGAAAACTAGGAACTGTTGCTGCTCCGTCAGGCGACCGTGGTCTTCTGAAGGGACTGACCCAGTAGATCAGGAGACTGTCGTCTTGTGTAGATTAGATGTCCTCTGAGGCATGCCCTGAGATGCCCTGGGGAGAAACCTGGCGTGTCAACCTACTTATTTTTACAGAGGCCCGAGAGGAGGCCGAGCATCACAGCCAGAGGACCCCTCGGGGGTCTCGTTACCAGGCGGGGCTGGCCGAGCTTCCTTCGGGTCCCGTTACGTAACTCCTGTGTGATGTGCAGAATTTCTTAAAAGCAGCATTGGGTCTTGAGTCTGCTACGTCATTCCAGATTTGGGACTTGTAATTTAAATAGTATTAGAGGTTCAAGAATAATCTCTGATTTTAAAAGGGCTTAACTTTTTAATCACTCGGAGAAGACGTATAAACCCAGTGAAATGTTTTTCTCGTGCTCAGCGCATAGATACTCTCCCAGCTCCCCACGCTGGGCAGTGTCTCCGGCCAGGGACAAGGGGCTTCCCTGAGCTGTGTCCTCGGAACGAGGCCGCCTCCCGGGCTCCCGCCAGCAGGAGAGCCCGCGCGTGGCTGTGGCGCGGACTGGGTGGTAGGGCGGGGTTTTTTATTTCATTACAACATTTTTCCTAAAAGAGAAATAGCTTGGCCAGACCG